ACCCTGGCAAAATTCTCAAATCTGCAAGATCTTCGAAGCTGCAAAATCTGTTTTCCTGCATAAAAAGAAGGTCTTTTTGCTGTGACTGAATACTGAATTGCAACCAGAATGTCAGTACTATTTGTTAAATGCAAGTTACTTAAATAATTCATTTTTCTTACTAATTATACAGTACGTGGTTAGCTTCAATGATCACATGTAATTAAAGGGGAATAGTTTCTGCAACTCTGTCATGACTTGGATGGTGCTGATTGAGAAGAGACTAAGATTTCCTGGTAGTCAACAGCTTATGTGCTAATTAAGGGGTTTACATGGAGTGGCATGTGCATCCTGTGCTTGGAGACACACCTGCAACATAGGCAATGTCTCCTTATTTCGTAGCAGTCCTTAGATTTGACTGAGGTCCCAAGTTATCACAGCCTCTGCTTAATTTTAAATATGTGCTTAAAACTTTTTGAAGTCAATGACACGTAAGTATGTGCTTCAGCTTTAGCTATGCACTTGAGAATTTTGCTGAATTGAGGCCACTGGCTGGTTAGGGCTGAAGCCTCACTGGTACCTGTTCTTCCCCACGGACACATCCCCTTGATTAACCGATCCAACACAGTAGGCTTGAAGTGCCTCGCTGACTGTCATGGTTAAATTCATTTCCTTTTAAACACAGTAGGCAAACCCCTAAGAGCTTGAAAAGTTTTTTCCCTGAGAAACTAAATCACAGTATATGTAGGAGGGAAAAATATAATCTTTGACTATCTTATTTTTACCATGCCAACCAGTGGATAAGCCTTACAGAGGATTACTGTATAGTGGAAAAGTCTTGGGTTTCCATACATGCTTTAATGACTGGACCTTTGTTCTACCTCTTAGCTGTGACCATTTAATAACTACTTGACTCGCTTTGCCCTCAGCAGGATGTTGCATGTAGCTTCACTGTGTTGAAGAAGACAGTTGAAATTAAAAATGCAATTTAATGATTCAGTAGGTAACAGACAGATTACCCAATAGCCTGCCTGTGGAGCAGACCTTCGTAAGTATCCTTCTATACAAGAACGCTTCCCTAGACAAAAATCAGCTTACAGATGTTATGCAGTAAGTTCCCAAGTCATCTCATCTGCAGACTTTAAATCCCCTGTGAAAAATCTCTACTGAATATTTAGCCAACAGCAAAGTGAAAGAAAATTCTCTCCTTTAACAAAAAAAAGTGGTTCATACCTTCACTTGGGAAGCAGCTTTAGATATCTTTGCACAGAGGACCCTGGGAAATACATGAGTTTTAGTCTCTTCTCTGAAGAGTTCAGGACTTAAACATGCAAGTCAGACTCGAGGTGGGAGAAACCAGCTCTGAGAGGAAGGTGACATGCCTAAAGGTGGCACAAGAGGACAGTAGCAGAGCTGGAATTATACCCCAGGGCCCCAGTGCAGTGCCTGTGCACTGGGTCAGCAGCAGTCCTTGCAATCTTTGGCTGCTCCTTGAGATTTGACAACTGTATTCAGATGTGGGCAAGCCCTATACAGAACGACATTATTATCTACAAACCATCACGGTGGATAAAGAAACTATAAGAAGCAATTTTGTATTGCAAGAATAGTTGAGGAGGCCTCCTGAGCTTCGCTTCAGCTTGGGAGAGGAGGTACCTGGAGGAGACAGGTAGCTGACAGCCATGGGCTGGGGAAAAGCAGTCAAGAAAAAGAAGAGAAAACATGTTTTGACTGGATATATCAGTGGTCTTTAGTTCTCTGGACTTCAGCTCAGTTCTTACAAGGAAATCTTTCCTACCAAAAAAACCAAGCTAGCAAATTCCCCTAAAACCCTGTTTCACTGGAGAAAGATCTGTCAATGTGATTGTAATGTCCATCTAGTCTACAGGTCCCAACCAGACAGCGGAGCAAGGGAAGTGGAGGTTTTGGTTTGAGAGAAAATGCTCTATTGCCCTTAGGGAATAACAACAGGTCTTTCTACCTGGTCTCTGAGAACAGATTCATTGGACCTGACTCCTGTCAGGCAGGGATAGAACAAGAAATCATCTATTTGGATTGCGGTGGGAAAGATTTAGGTTGTGTGTTGGGAAATTCTCCCTGTAGTGAGGATAGTTTAGCCATGCAATAGCTTTTTTTAGGGTTTGGGGTATTTTTAGTGGTTTTATTAGATGTAGAAAGTGATGATGCTGTCTATGGTTGGAAGCTACCAAGGTAGACCTTACTGTTGTTCCTGCTCCACACTCTCTGTTGCCCAATGTGCTTTGTAAGGGTCCATAGAAAATGAGATCAGATGAAGTCCTGTTTAGAGTGTCTCATGCCAGGCTTAATTCCTTGTGCTGTGTCTCTTTGTGAAAGAAGTGAAGTGTCCTTGACTGCAGCAGCCCTCTGGAGAGAGAATTCTGTTGTACCTCCTCTTGTTCCTGTACCCTCTGGCTCTCACTTAGTCTGGGCCCGTCCCCAAAAAGACACAAATATGTGTACGCTCCATCACGACAGAAATAACGACAGGAGGCAAAGATTCAAGATGAATGTTGTTCTTATGAAATCTTCATTTATGGTTAGTTTGCAGCTGCTTATTTAGAAAGAATAAATTTACTGTAATAGGAGTGAGTCAGCGTGGGTATATTGCAGGTAAATCATGTCAGACTAATTTGATCACATCACAGAATCACAGGATCACAGAATGGTAGGGGTTGGAAGGGACCTCTGTGGGTCATCTAGTCCAACCCTCCTGCCGAAGCAGGGTCACCTACTCCCTGGGCAGCCTGGGACAGTGCTCCGTCGCCCTCAGAGGGAAGAAGTTCTTCCTCATGTTCAGACGGAACTTCCTGTGCTTCAGTTTGTGCCCATTGCTAAGGAAATAACTATCAGACTAGATAGCATAAATCTATCTGGGTGTCCAGAAGGTTTTAAGAAAATTTTGCATGATGGATTATAGTACAAATTCCCTAAATGTACATTAAAACAATCTATTATTGAAAAGGGTAAAATACTGGCAAGAAGGCAGTCATGGCTTGGAGCTAAGGGTGAGTGTCATCATTGAGGTGACTGAGGAGCAGATCCTCTGCTGGGGCTCTTTAATATTTTTATTAAAGATTTACACAACACCACAGCATGTAGGATCATTAAATTCGGAGATGATACAGAGCTAAAGGGATCAGGCAAGACTTACTGGTCGGTCTTTGCAGAGAAATTGCTTTTTGGCAGTATAATCTTGCTCATTTACGTAAGGAGACTCAAAACTGCGATATGATCTTGACTGGACCAAGATGCTCCATGGCAGTTACAGCACCTTTAACAAGGAACGGGAGGGCCGGACTGGAGTCTTCTCAGTGGAGATGGGGAGGTGCAGGGGTTGTGAGGTGTGGTGGAGCTGTAGGGGTGAGAGGAATCACTAGCAAGAGGGCAGAGAGATATTTTTCCTTCATTTTTCAGTTTTTTGAGTCCTTAACACGCTCTCACCATAAACATTTGCACAGCAGTGGTTGATAGAAAGTCCTGGGGTGGTCATATTTTATTATAGTGTATAAAATACTATGTATTCTGTTTGGCCGTGTTTTAATGTAGTGTATAAAATATGTGTTCTGTTTGTAGCTGATGTGGCAATTATACCTGAGAAAGCTCATATTTATGAGTAAGGACTCACCTGTTCCTGAGTACCTGCAGTGGAAGGAGGGGGAACTGGATCCGAACAGAACATTCTTGTTCTTGTGTGTCCGCACGCTGAAGAGTGAACTGGGAGCAGATACTGCACTCTGGCTCCTGTCCTATGACAGCCCACAGCAATGCTGACTATCCCAGCCACCTTCAGATGTGTAAATATTACGCTTATGATACCTGTCATCTGAGCTACCGAACTTCACGTTCATCTGGGTGTCTGGTTTTAGGCGCTCTTCATTACGCAACGTCTGGGCAACATCTCGGCTTCTCCCTGTTCCCAGGGAGCGCAAGGCAGCCGAGCTGGCCAGCAGGCAATGCTCGATGCTGCCTGGCAGCTTTTCTACCCATTCTGAAGAGTGATGTGAGGACTGTGCTACTCCAGTGACAGTGTTACACACACTCCTCTTTCTGCCACTCGGCAAAAAAAATGTTCAATCTTTGGAAGATGTACTGTAACTAGCAGCTGGTTTGTCGTGTGGGATTCTGAGTAGGAGAAGAGTGAAAATAACAGGAGAGTGTTTTTTCCTCTATTTTGGGCTCTGATTTAAATCAGTTTCTGAGGCAGCATTCATTTCTGGGAGAAGAGTGATGCTTGTGGATTGAGATTTCTGCAATAGGAGCAATCTTTTGTGGTAGTGAACACCTGTATTTCAGAGTTAGTGTAGATGTTTAAAGGTGGACAGTTACACTTCCAGCATACCCAGATGCCACGCTCCTGATTTCTTTTCCACGGAGAAGCTGAAACACAAATCTTCAGACATCTTTTATCATTAACAGAAAAGCAAAAATGTTAAAAAGTGAACCAGAAAACAAATCTGTTAAATAAAGATACAAGCGAAGAAGAAATATGAAATCCCCATGTAGTAGGCATAACTCATTCCTACTGCCAGTTCAAAACCAACCATTGCAGAAGAATTTAATGGTACTGTTTAGTGAAATTAGACTTGACACTAGCCAGTTACCTTTTATTTTGGTTGGTTAGGATTTGCAATTGTTTGACACTCATTAGAAATCACAGTAACCTGTTGTAAGGGCAGGCAAATTAAGATTCCCTTTCTCCCTGCGAGATTACTCATCACACTACAGCTACATGCTAATTGGAAAATAACTGGTGAGTGAGCATGTCTTACACAAGCTGTCATCTGAGCATGTCAGGTAACGTACTGGAGGTGAGCTTGCAAAGAATTTGGTCATGCACACAACAGCTAAGAAAAACTGTTGCAGGAAATCAACAGTACAGTAACTTATGAGATGCAAAAATAATTATTAATCTTTCAAGATCCTGGTAATTTCTCTGTGGGAATTCACCTCACCTTCTGTTTCCTTCAGTGGCTCCAGCATGAGAACACATGGTTCCCTACCTGAACCTCAGCCCTGGCTTTTTTATTTATTCAGAGCCTGCCAGTGAGTTAGTTAGAGAAGCGCTGGGGTTTGCTGGGCCAAGCCAGGCTTCCAGGGAAATGACCTCTGGTGGCTATACTCACAAGACAAGAGGGTAAGCTGCAAGCTCCAAGTATACCACCTTCCTTCTCCTGCTGGAGGAAATCTTGTTTAGCTAAACCAGAACAGAGTGGAATGGGGGAAAATTTTAGCTAATTCTTGCAAGGGGGCTGTGTACTGCAGAGGTCTGTCCGGGAAGCATCACAAGGTCTTGCAGAGAGATAAGTGGATGCAGAGAGAGGGGTCTTAGCAGTTACAACTGCATTAGCAAGCAGCAAGGTGCGGTAGGAGCAGATCTGAGGAGTGAAATGCTTGGTGCTGGTCCGCTATATATGTGTTTTGGGGGATTTACTTGGGATAGGTCGGATCTGACCCCGTGGCTTGGAACATTCAGTAGCAGCCAGGACGTTGGGTGGGTCTCTGGAGCTCATCTTGTCATTTAGTTTTGTCTGAAAGGAATCAAATTCTGCAGCGTGAGCCTAAATGCAATAAGTGAGGAAGGTCAGGAGAGTCACCTCAGAAGGGCTGACTTGCTCCAGAATAAAACAAACGCCGATGCAGCTGTAGCAGAGTCTGCAGGAAGCTGGTCAAACCAGCCTCTCATTCCCGGAAGCAGCTAATGAAAGTTAATCTGAACATGCACAGCCTGTTTTATTGTTTTTATAACATGTTCACTCTGAAATGCTTTTGTTCCAGGGAAGCAATACTTTGCAATCAGGAAGTAGCTTGTTTCGTGATTAGCGTTGCTGTTGCCCTCGAGGGAAGGGGTGGCACTGTCTGGACAGACTTCGGATCCGCCGAGGAAACTTGCATCTGGTACTTCACCTGAGATCCAGTCCACAAGTGGAAAAGTTGCCTGGTTCCGGTGATGACTTTGGATATAGGAGGCAAGAGATGGTGTGCTGAGCGGGGCACAGCATCAGATGAGAGTGGTCAGAAGTGTAGTTCACCGACTAGCTGTGACGTGAGTTTCCAGCCTCAGTTTGGCGGGAAGACGTACAGGTAAGATTATCAGTTTATTCTGTGCAATGCATTAATTTTTTATCTAGAAAATACACTCCTTGTATCACACTGCCCAACTCTTTGTTCACCTCATATTCAAACAGAAGATGAATTTTCACTTCTGACAGTTCAGCTTGCAAAACCAAGGGAGAGATGGAAAAAAGTCCCTTCCACGCCAATGTGATGATTGATCACTTTTTATTTTTGTTCAGATGCCAGGTCTGGATTTGAAATCGAAAAGTAATATACTATTTTATGGAGTTACTTCAGGAGGGGGCCTCGAAGGAGGAATGTAGAGTGCTGTAAGACGGGGCTGGAGAGATCAGACAGGAACCGGGAGAACAAAAGCCGCCACTGTTAGAGATCTGGGAGTTGTTGGATGAAGCGGGGCCTCCTGCTGTTCGTTGCTCGCTGTTGCTGTGGCCAGGCTGGCATCGCTGTGCAAGGGGAAATGCAGGCAAAGAGCTAATCTATCGAAACAGAAGGACAGACTTAGCTTGAGAAGATGAGCATGCTGAGCTGGTTTCTGCTCTGTTACACCCTGAAACCTCACTGATATCTGTACAGCTCCCCAGCTGTAACTAGGAGCAGACAGGGGTTCTTTATGCATTTTCTCCAGAGCCACATTGGTGAGGATTTGGTGAGGAGTGGAGAAACTGATACTGAGCTTTTCAGCTCGGCAGGAGGGAATCTGTATTTGCTTAATTTGGGAAGAGACAGTCATATAACGTACAGTATGTAAAGCTTAAGCGGTAAAAGTATCCCCCTGAGCATCGTGTAGAGTTCAAGGCAGCTAGGAAAAGTCTTTCAGGCTGCCCGAGCCTTTCCACAATGCTTCCTCCATTCCTTCAAATACAAAGAAATGCCTGCTCCAAATGGTTTGTGCAAGGACTTGACTCCAGTCTAGTAATCTAGGGATTACAACAGCCATGTTTAGTCTAACCACCTACATAATTTCTCCCAGAAGGTGAGTTAAATTTCTCCCAGAAGTTGAGTCAAAAAGTGTCTTCTGAAAAACAGCTAATTTCATAATTTCACCTAGTTCTCTGGCAAGCTTTTCAAGTACTGATGGCCTTCACTGCCGTTTCTGTCATGTTTTATTTCAGGGTTGAATTTCTAATTGCCAGCTTTTGCAGTTGTCTTGGAAGAGGCATCGTGGTACCCGAAAGCCCTCTCTCAGGATTGCCTTCCCCCATGTTAGTGCCTGCAGCAGTGATGAGATCCTGTCTCAGTCACGTCTTTGGTAAGCCGACAGGCTTGGGCCCCTTCAGAAGCACGCTGGACAGCTTCTGTTTCCCAGCTCCAGGGTCACTTTTTGGCTTTGCCTGAATTGTTTCTGTATTTTCTCTTTCTCCACACAGGAAGGAACATAGCCTGGACATGGCTTTCCAGCAGATTGTCACTGGAGCTTGCTACTGTGGTCTGCAATTGCCCTTTCTAAACACCGAGGAATCAGAGGAGTCCCTTTGTGGCAGCTTTAGGGCTATGGCAGATCTCTGTGGTGTTCTCCAAGTCCTTTTCAAAGCAATTCCTTTCCGAGGCAGCGTCCTGTAAGTGTAACCTGCATTTCTGGTTTCAGATGTCTTACCTTGCGTTTGACTTTTTAAATCATGTTTCACTGGAGTGTGGCCAGCTCTCAGTTATTTCAGATCGCTGTATATTGGTAGTCCAGTCCTGCTTGCTGTTTCCCTACCGCCAATCTTGTTGGCATCTGCAAACTTCACCACAGCAAGGATTTATGTAGTGTCATTTAGATCATTGATAAAAATATTGAATAAAACGGTAAGGGGAGTTTCACTCTTCTTTTATCCCAGATATTTTTACCCAGTGTAATATTGCTGTACATTTATTGAGTCATGGCTATTGGAACATCCAGTAAATATACCTTTGAAGAATAGCCAGTTTCCAGGAATGCTTTCCACCGTAAATGTATATTCCCAGTCCATTATGCTGGTAACTGAGGTTAAGGCTTGGGAAAATAGAAACGTTAAATGCATAGGTGTGTGCGTCACTGCCTGGTGCCAGAGTGTTTGCACAAGTGTAACCGGATCATGGCCTGTGGTATCTAGGCAACTTGCTGGTTTTTAGATCAGCGATTAACTCTTCTTAGGCCTTCAGAGGTCCAGCAGAAGGTTTTCCCATGCAGATTGCAGCAGTTTTGGGGCTGAAGGCATTATTATTTTGAAATAACTTTTATTCCTGGTTTTATGAGATGTCTAGGAACTAGCTTCTGGGTTGAAGCTCACCACAATAATGCAACTTTGCTTCATCATGTGGAGGGGAAGTGACAGCCATGCTGGATATTCTCCTTGTGTGGTTCCCACCTCATAAAACAGTGTTAATTAATACACATTTGGAATGTTTCTTTTCAGTTGCCAGCCTGGATCTCAGTGGGGAACAGGGCTGCTCTGATTGTCACGGAGTGAGCTGGATCTCCGAGCTTATCCAGAGCTGGTCAAGGTGTCTGCAGGTATGTGCCAGTGTTCCCAGCACAGCAGTGCTCAGGCTGGCGCTGAAACTAAGCAAGTTTCACACCCTGTAACAGCTGTGAACGGGGAAGGCACCAGTGTGGCACAGAGATAGCTTTGCCCTCCCTCAAGTTCTGTGGGTTGTTCAGGACCTCTAATGGATGCAGCCCAGGAGATCATTCAGATCCCGGGTTATGAGGGTTGCAAACCCAGGAAATTGTTTACAAATCTCCGCTTCAGCCTCTAAATCTGGACTCAAAACATCTTTGGGAGGTGTTGGCATGGCAGGCTCTGCACCATTTGCAGAGCTTCCTAAGAGGAGAGCTGTCACTGTTGCAGGTAGGGACAAAGGCAGGTCTTCTGACAGTGACTGTGTAGCAAATCTCTTTACAGAAATGCATCTTACAATCTCGGAAGTGCTCAGAGCGCCCCAGCCAAATATCCCTAGGCTGGTGCAGCAGAGCAGGAAGGAAATCGTTGATATTCAGAACTTGGTCTTTAGCTACACAGGACCTGAAAGCACAAACGTGTTTGTACCTCTGGGGAGAGAGGTACAAGGAAGCAGGGCAGCTTTGACATAGTAACAGGAACTCTCCCTTGCAGAGCTAGAGGCAGAATAGTTGTTATTAAAAGAAGGTGACTTGGCCTTCGTGGAGACATTTGAGCTGCTCTGGTTTGCAGACCCCTGGGTCGAGAGTCCTGAACTCACAGTGGGGTTGGCTCAGCACAACAGACTCTGAAGGTGGGTTATAGCTGGGGAGTTCTGGCACTGCCAGCAGGAAAAGGTCATGCAAAAGAAATAAAAGAGACTCTCTTTGACAGGAATTGAGGAATACTTCTGACTCTACACAAATATCATCCAACTGCTTAATTTCAGGCCTATTGCTCATGGCACACAGGCAGGAGAAAATAAGAAGGGAAGGCAAATGAAGCCAGGTCCTTCTACATTCAGCTCACTGCAACCTGAGAAAGCTTTGGTCAGCCTAGCCCCCATCTCTATCTGCTTTTCATTATTATTTTTTATAGCCAGAAATAATAACTTTATTGGCTTTATTCATCTGCTGTCAGATGCCCAATCAACATCTGGCAATAGAGCAGTTCCCAGAAAGTGCTGACCTAGTGGGACCCAGTGGAGCAGAAGGTGCAGAGGAAGGTCTCCATCCCCCCTCCCATCCCTGACTGCCCTTTTAATTATCTTCTCAGCCAAAGTAGGATGTGTACCCCCACCTTACCCTTGCTACCTGCCTGCATTTCCAAGCACCGGGGTCAAGGGAGATCCTGTGGTTGGAAGGCATCTGAGAAAACATCTAGGGCATGGAGGATGGGGGCAGGAGGAGCTGAGTGGGAGACAGAGCATCCTGAAAACTGCTCCTGGATCCACAGAACTGATAGTGAGGGAATGCATCCTTTCCCAGGGCTGGGGTATGCCACTGCGTGGGGAGGAGGTTTGACAAATGGATCAAAAAGGAGCTGTGGACCATGTGCAGTGCCTGGCCAGTGTAAGAGGGATGCATACAGCAGGGCAGAGGAGCTCAGCTCTCCCTTCTCCCATATGGCTTTGTTTGGATTTGCACAGGACTCAGATCTTATGCATAAAAACACAAGGATCCTTCCTGAAGGGTTTTTGATAGACTTCCCTGCAGGTTAGAGGGGTTTAAGATCTAGCAGAAGATTGAATAGAGTGGAACACATTTTTGTTTACTTTGGCGCGTATTGGACTCACGATAAAATTCAGGTGTAAGAAGCCAGAGGCAGGTTCTGTTCTATTGGGAGATTAGCCCGTGTGCAGCTGCTCCAGCAGGTCCTACAGGTTCCCTGTTGGATCCCTGGGCTCCCACAGCAGATCTCTTGAGCCCCTTTTCCCACACGGTCCCGCCCTGACTTCTCCCTCAGGTGTGGGTGGCTTGGTTTGTGCTGAATTGTGATACCTGCCTTTCCACAGCTTGGGTTTTCTTTGCTCG